TGTGAGGAAAGCCATTATTTGAAATGGTCCTAGTAATTAAAAACTATAGTATCACTGACTGGAAATGAAGTAAATGAAGGGACGAGAATCTGTTTGAATAGCCCCACCCATACCTCACCCCTCAACTGTCTACCTTGTGTTTCGCTCTCTAAGTAACAAGCCTTCAAACTGTTATTGAGTGATATGAGTTAATTCTGACAAGTAATCATGTTTTACCTTTAATTTATCTTGTTTTTCTTTATTTGATATTAATAAAATCTTGTTCACCAAACTGTGGAGCATAATTCTTATCTTTTTTACTTAATTGTTTTAAATGTTGAGAAAGCAATGTAATAAGCAGTCAATGAATACTTACCACATAAAAGGGATGATGTGAGGGCTATGTGAACTAGCAGAATGTATAAATAAATGGTACTACAATTTAGCACAGAAAAGCAAGGATGCCAAAGTCAGAAAACCACCATTTAAATTTTAGCTACAATTCCTCGTAATAGCTGTGTGACCTTGGCAAGTTACTATATCCTCCTAAGTCACAGTTTTCTCTTCTGCAAATGGAGTTTAGTAATATTGACTGCCTTCTAGGATTGTCGTAACAAGGGCTTAATTCGCTGTTTGGCTTAGAGTAAGTGATCAACAAATATAGCTAGTTTATGATGGAAAATCCTCAAAGAAGATGAAGTGCGGAAGAATTGACATGAAGCCAAGAAAACAGCCCCAGGCAGATATTATAAAGTGGCCAAATGCACAAACTGTAAAACTGCAGCTGAAGGACAGGGCTTTTCTGGATAAGCAGTTTTCTTCTTCATATTCTTCACCAGCTATACCATTAAGCTAAGCTACTGTAATTCTACCTCACACCATGTACAAAGAGCAGAGTTTGATTCAGAATCAAGGCTCTTGCTGGTTCCTTTGAAATTTGGAGAAATATTCATATCTTGTCTTCAAGAGAAGTAATTTTTATATGAAGCAGCTTGCTAAGTCGAATCGTTTGAAAAGGCATTCTACCATATTAAGATTACTTCGTTTAATAAACACATGTATATCACGCTTCTCGGGTGGATTAGGAGAGGCTGTGAGAATTGGCCAGCTTCTGAAGAAATGTGCTTGGTATAGAAATTTGCCCTCTTCACTATACTCCCTTTCCTGTTTCAACCTCCATAACTAACAGTAGGCATGATAGAAATGCAGAGATAGACACTACTATTGTGTCTGTCATTTCATTCATTTCCAAAATATTGAAACTGTAAAAAACTACTCAAGTAAGAGTTAAAATCATATCAGTCACAACCATGCCAATCTACAATCCCTAATCAATTTACATTCTAATTGTTCATAATTGTGCTACGTGAAGATAAATGTTTTCTTGACTGAATATTAACAAAATGCCCTCAAACTACAAATAGTATGCAACTGTTGTATTTTAGTAGAAAACCTATTCCATTTTCAGATTGATACAATGCAGACATTTTAAATCTTATAAACTCCTCGATCTTTGCCAAGTGCGTTGTTTTATTTGCTAGGAGGCATTTGTCCATTCCTAACCTTTTTACCTCCAGAAAATAGATGACACATGTGACTTGAAAATTGAATCGATCTTGACTGAAAAAGAAATAATAAAAGTAGCTAATGTCTTTGTCATCTCTAGCAAGCCTACAGGGCAGATACTGTTGTTGCTTCAGTTTTGTAAGATGCATTATATCTTGCTAATCCTCAATAAATATGAAAAAGTGATCATTTCACAGCTAAGAATTGACAAACTGGAACACATTTCTCATTTGAATAGACAAGATAAGCAGTTCCCACCAGTGCTGCCATCTCTGCCTTCGGGTGTGTTGTGTCCAAGGCAGGCACTGTCGGTTCATTCGTAGGTCACTGCTGTTTTATTTCTATTTGTCTGTTTCTGGACCAGAACTCAGATTTTCATCCAGACAGCTGCCTGTCTTAAAGATCATTCTGCGATCTACCTTCTGTGACATAATTTAAAGAAATGAGTAACCCCAATTAAACCATTGCAGGTGTAAATTTCTTGCCTGGAGAGAGAATTGAGAAATAAATGGGATTCATGAATACAAATTGGGCTCTCCTTACACTCAAGTTTTCATTTTGAAATGGTAAAGTATTCACTCCCCACATAAATCTGCATTTGCCTTAAGTGTGTTTACCATGGGAACCCCAATGTAGAGCTGGTAGCCCATTGCTATGCATAACTGAATATTAAAGTTTACAAATCATCAGGCAGAGGAGGCCTGGAGAAGGAGATGCTGCGGCAGGGCAGCTGCATCTGGGCTGGCAGCAAAGATGAATCCTGCTGTCACAGGCTCTGCACCTTTACTGGGTTGGGGCCACCCAACCTGCCCACTCTTTTTCTCTCCTTAAATATTATTTGATATTAAGGATTGCTACCTCTTCCAACCAAGACATCCTGCTTTCTGAATGTCTTAACAGCTCTATTATTTTCCCTTCACCCAGTTTTGGTTTAGAAGGTGGTGTGTTAAATGAATCTCATAGGCCACCTAATTTATTTTGAAACAAATGCCGCTGTGAAAGGATGGAAGGATTCAATAAGGAAATACATAAATAATTTTCAGACACTAAGCAACCCTCTCCTCTTTCCCCCACTTTCTTCTTCTCCTTCCCTCCCTTCCTCTCCATATTTTGTTGTTGTTGTTGTTGTTGTTTGTTTACATTGTAACTGTATCTATTCTGTGAAGATCCATTGAGGCCAATTGGCTTTTCAGTGTATAAACAAATATAATCCAAAGTACTAAATGGCACTCCTCTCATTTTCAACTTGTGCTTTCAATCTTCAGCCAGAAGTAAGGCCCTATTATATTCACAATTATATGGACTTGAGAATGAGTGTACATTGCCTGCCCTTTGCTATAGAACTAAATCAGAAGGAAGTCTGTTGGTTATAAGTTTTCTATGATCGTCCCAAGTTATTTTCTTATGTATATAATAATTCATGCTACAAAGAGCTTGATGTGGTTTGGAATAATGTCATAATAAAATGGTAAAATAGCCTTGGAATTGTTCAGGGCAATTGGATGTATGAATCACAATGGGAGACCTAGACAATGGAAAACAATCGAAAACAATTTTCTACAATTAATGTCAAAAGAATTGTCTCTCACGTCTCTCTGCAAATGAGAACAGAGAAGTAGAAGTAGTGAAAATTGTAATGTGGGATTAATCGCATTTCTTGTTCCCAGATCTGATGGGTTTTCCTTATTGTACAGATTTCAAACACTGTAGCTATGCAGAACTCTGAGCTGATCTTATTAGTCTTAAATGGACCTGCCAAGCATATTAAAGGAAGGTTCTGACTGTCTACTGTGGACAGAATGTAGCTCAAGGAAATGTGGTCACTACCCTTAATTATATTCATAATATGTGGTGTATTTACAATAATTTAAAATAATTCAGTAAATTGAAACCATTATGAAGATGATTTACGGTGAGTAATAAGAATGTAAAACAATGGGACACATAAGGAAGGTCAAAGGGTAGCTTTTTAGATTACACACTGGTTCTGCTCGCCAATTGTAGGCATAGGTCAGACCTCCCAAATTGGCCTTTTCCCAAGCTTGCTCTCCGGTTCTCCAAACCGAGGATGCCTTGCTTCTATCTCATTTGATGAACTGAGCCAATCTCCTCATTCAGTGACTATTTGCAAGCCAAATTTTCATAATATTTCTGAAATGAATGAAGATACATTTTGTATATCCAAGGATAGTTAAGTGTTGTCTTCTATAAAGACTATAATATAATGTGGTCCTTTAATATAAAGACTCTCAGAGGCACTCAATATATAGATTATTAACGATGCATATTGATTAGCTAGTTTTGAACTTTCGGCTTCAATTTTCAAAATCCTATTGTGAAAGTTAGTTCATATTTGTGTTAAGAAAATCTAGGATCTTAAAGATTCTTTTCTGTCAGAGAACGGTATTACGATAGCAGTTCCACTTACTCTCAGGTACTCTACAGGGTTAATAGTGTGAGCTCTGGAAGGAACTTATTATACAGCATAAAGTGAATCTCTTTCATTTCTCCACCATTGTGTCATTTTCACCTAAATCATAACTTTCTACCCAGCATTTACAAGAGCAATCCACAGGCTTCCTTTATAAGGATGCATTTGAAACCACTCATTGAAGTGAGGATTTAAATAACCGGAATAAATCAATTCTGGCCTACTTAAAAAAAAAAAAATGAAAGCTAACAAACTGACCCACCCAGAAAGACACGAACAGATAAATTTTTGAATATTGTATTCTGTATTATATATTATATGTATTAATACTTGGTCACATATTGGAGTGTTTTACCAAAAGATTCTCTCAGAAGCTAGTGGCGAAACAGAATAAAAGTATGACATGTGTTCCGCTTGCTGTTGCCTTTTTGTCTAAGGCAGTGGTTATTGTGAATTCCTCAGGGTAGCGAATCATTTGGTTCACTAGGACATGAAAAAGTAGAATTCATCCAAAGTTAATGGGCTGTTTGATGGTCTCTATGTGTCAAATGCGATTGTCTGGGAAAAGAGGATAGTAAAGGAATGAGTCAATTTAATTTTAAAATAACTTGATAATCTGTTAATTCTCCAAATATCCTCAAAACCAAAGAAAAAGCCAAATATGAAAGGTGTAATTTATAGTAGTCAATTGGTATAAGTAGAGTCTTCTGTTTTTGTGTCATGAAAAATTTATCATTGTCACATGTGTTTAATAGACCATTCTGCATAACAATAGAAATTTCAGTTAATTTTTAAAGCCATAATCTTGTTCACTCTTAGAAGTAAAAAAAAAAAAAAAGAAGAAAGAAAGAAAGAAAGAAAGAAAGAAAAAATGCATTCTTATGGAATAAACATCTGATAACACATTCTGAATGTGGAGATTGAGATGTCTGAAGGCTGCCTTTTGAACTAGTACTTTTACCCCATGAAACATCTCTGTGTTCTTTCTGGCACAACCAGTTCAAAAGATCTCTTTTCTTCACAGGTTACCAGCCAGTCTTGTCTGGTCAACAGGGATTCCAAGGCCTAATAGGAGTGCAACAGCCACCTCAGAGTCAGAACGTGATGAATAACCAACAAGGAACTCCGGTGCAAAGCGTGATGGTTTCCTACCCAACCATGTCTTCTTATCAGGTGCTCATAAACAGCTTGGAAAATTGTGTTATAAAGTAGCATTTGTCAAAGTGGAAGCTGTGGATATGTCCCTGGTTTGGGTGGCTGGCTGGGTAGTGGGTTCTTGGCCCATAACTGTTGATAATTTACTTTGAATCAAGATTATAATAGAAAGTAGAAAATGCAAAAGATATGCTTCTATCACTACTGTGGCTTTTGAATGCTCTGCTAAATTTATTTCCGTATAACTTCATATTCATGGAAGAAAATGCATTAGTCTACAGTTTTATTCATAAAGATCTTTGGAAATTTTATTGCATTTTGCTTATTGGTAGAAAGTCTTCATGACAAATTCCCATTCATTTTTGTACACATCCAAATAAACTTCATTTTTCCATAAATTTAAGTTATAAGAGATTTTAATATGGCATCTCAGATTCATTTAAAGGGCATTTTTGGAGCCTAACAACTGCATTCTCTGGACTAAACCCAAGTTAAGCATTTTTAAAGTGTTATATATCCTTTTGTGCTATATATTATGAAATACCCCAGAAGTAGAAATAAAGAGTTAGTGAAATGGTATAATAATTAAATTTAACTGTACCAGGTGCTTCTGACCCTAAAGGACCTATCCTAGGACCCCTACCCTACTATTCTGATTCACGTTGCATTGACTTCTACCTGTAGCTCCACAATAAGTGTTCTCTAAAGTTGCAGGTTGAGAGTATAGTGGGTGCCCAGGACAAAAGCCCTTTGTACTATGGAGGGCTCCAGGACACTTTGCATAAAATCGGAAAGGGAGCATGGCTTTTCAAACTGAGAGAAACCCAGAGTGGAAGATCTAGACTATAGTTTCTAGAGGTCATGGAGAGAGAAGGGAAGTCAGAACTAACACCTTCTGAGCATCTGCTGCATTCCAGGCAGTGTGCCAGGCCCTGTACACCATCCCTTCAATCCTTTCAATGGCACTTTGAAGCATGTATGTCATTATCCCAATGGACTAGGGAATCAGAGGGGCTAAGTGACTTTCCTAATGTGAAACAACCGATAAATGGCAGAGTTGGAATTGATGACCTGTTAGGTCTAACTCAAAAGCTTGAATATTTTTCATGACACCATGTTGTTTATTGTACAGACCAAAAGTAGCCTCTTCATACAGGGTTCTTGCTTGTGTCTTTTTACAGGTGCCAATGACCCAGGGTTCTCAAGGACTGCCCCAGCAGTCATACCAACAGCCAATCATGCTACCTAACCAGGCAGGTCAAGGGTCACTCCCAGCCACTGGAATGCCTGTTTACTGTAATGTCACACCACCCACCCCTCAGAACAACCTTAGGCTGATTGGCCCACACTGCCCCTCCAGCACTGTCCCAGTGATGTCAGCTAGCTGCAGGACAAACTGTGCGAGTATGAGCAATGCCGGTTGGCAGGTCAAATTCTGAGAGCTCTGGTTGTGGTACATTTCTTCAGATATTTCTCATGGCCTTTGATGGAAGAGGAACAAGGTGGGAAAACTGGCTGAGGACTTAATTATTCACTCAACACTCAAATGATTGCTGCTGGTATTCTGTAAAAAAATAAACAAAGACTAATATACACGTTAGCTGGTTAATGGTGCATATTTCTGTCATGTCTGCTAGGTATGCCTTTATAGCTTAGCTAGTGACATGAATTCATCAAGGTAAGATTTTCTCCTACCACTGAATACCACTGTGTAGATTATAATATCCCTAATTTGGATTAGTTTTGTACTTTGTGTTGAGTTTGTGATGCTAAAAGTATTTAAAAATTATATACTAAATCACATTGTACCAAAGCTGTAATGGAAAAGAAAAGAAGAACTGATGAATTGAAGGAATAATTTATATACATTATAGAGTTTTCTTTTTTAATGGATATATACTGTATTGTAGTGTTTAATCATAATAAAACTATTTGACCTTATGGAGGAAGGTCATGTTTTTACCACCAGTTTGGTTCACTATGTCTTCCAATGTGTGTTTTCTCATGTGTCACTGTATTCCTTTCAAACACTATCTCATGAATACTGCATGGAAAAGGTTTTTCAAGTATTTATAAGTAAACTGCCATCACATGGGGATATGCCGTAGCAAAGACTTAACCAACTGTAGTTTATTGTCGTAATACTAAAGGGTCCTGAAAATAAGATGGCATCCATTTCATTCATTCATGAGGTTTGCAATTTTAAAGTACATACCTTCCTATTAATTATAGGACTATTAAAAGCATGTAGTTACACTTCACTAACTAGGAAAACCTGTGTATCTTCATTAACAACAGTCCTATACCAAACCCTGTTCTACCTTCATGCGAGTTTCATTATGTACCCAAAAACAAGGTATCTTTGTTTAGAGGAAAATCAAAAGAGGCATAGTCTAATCCTGCCTGTTATATCGGGTCATACAATAGAAAGTGCCACTAGTATTGACAGTGAGTCAGTAATTCAAAAGTGCTAATGTTTGTCCCAGTAATTTAAAACAAAGTAAATATAGCAACGATTTAATTGCAAAGATCTAGAACATTGGCAATTCCATTTAGATGAAGCCTATGTCTACCTAATGTCTCTTTGGGAAATAACAGAACTGTGAACTCTGAGGTTCGGCCCTTCTGGAAGATATTAATGGGGAAATAAAACCCCTTTGTTTTCACTTTAATATCATAGTACAATGACTAATAGTTTTGTATTTTATACTTTCTGCGTAAAAACCATTATTACCAGTGAGAGGAATATAAGGAGTATATCTGGATCATTTCTATTGTTTTTATATTATCACATTCTCTGTTAGATTTGCTGTTTTTATGTTGTTCAGCTGTGGGTAGAGTTAAGCGCCAGTTAAAAACTCTTATCTAGCAGATTACCATCACTTCATTCTATACTATTGTTTTCTTTTCCCTTTGAAAGGGAACTCTTACATATACTCTAATTGGCTTTATTCCTTATGAAGTCTGTTCCATTTTTCCAAGTTTCAGTCTACTAATATTTTCATGGTCTGCCCTGACCATGAAAAGTGTAATAACAAGAGGATGTTGCATTTTTTTTCTTATTGAGCCATTAGCCACTCTGAAAAAGAGCAATGTGTTTGTTTAATTAATACCTTCCCCTAATGGAAAGATGGGATTGGCAAATATTCTCCATTTAGCTTTCTGATGTTGGGAGTGTTCCTAAATTTAAGAATCCAAATATGAGCCTGATTATTTATTTTTTCCATAAAATTCTGCAAACTTTTGACATTTTCTTTCAAGATCTTCAGAATTACTGAGCCTTCTTTTCTATGGATTTGAAATATATGGTATGTTAGTGGTAAAGACAGGGCTTTACACCTAAAGAAATTTCATTTGGCCACTTTTATCCAAAGGTGTAGCAGTATTTCATGTTTAGACATTTGATATTTATTGTATAAATCCATTTGGATATTGCTGCAGACCAAACCTTCTTTCCTACTTTCACAACATATTCCTATATATCTGTCTTAGTCCATTTTTGTAGCTGTAACAGAATACCCAAAGCTAGATAATTTACAAAAAAAAAAAAAAAAAGACAAAGTTTACTTGGCTCAAGGTGCTGATGGCTGGAAAGTCCAAGATTGGGCAGCTGCATCTGGTGAAAGCCTCAAGCTGCTTCAACTCATGGCATGAAGCAGAAGAGCAGGTATGTGCAACGAGACTACATGGTGAGGAAGGAAGCAAGAAAGAGAAACCAAGAAGAGTGAGAACTCAACCCCACAGAAGGGCATTAACTTGTTTATGAGGGATCTGCCCCCATGACCCAGACACTTTTCACTGGGCCCCACCTCCCAACCCTGATACATTGGGGATCAAAAAAAAATTTTTTTTTTTTCGAGATGAAGTTTCGCTGTTGTTGGAACAAGAGTGCAATGACTGGAGTGCAGTGGCACGATCTCAGATCATCGCAACCTCTGCCTCCTGAGTTCAAGCGATTCTCCTGCCTCAGCCTCCTGAGTAGCTGGAATTGCAGGCACGCACCACCATGCCCGACTAATTTTTTGTATTTTTAGTAGAGATGTGGTTTCTCCATGTTGGTCAGGCTGATCTCGAACTCCCGATCTCAGACGATCTGCCCACCTCAGCCTCCCAAACTTCTGGGATTACAAGCATGAGCCACCGTGCCCAACCGGGGATCAAATTTTAACGTGAGTTTTTGTGGGGGCAAAGCACATCCAAACCATAGCACCAGCATTATGGTATTCCAAATCTTAGACTATGCTTACTATTTTGTTGCATTAGAATTTTCGGGATGGCTGTGTAGAAAGATGGTTTTATTAGTGAAACATTTTCAAAATTTATTATCAGGAGGACCCTTCATTTTTCATTTTAGTTACTAATCTTATTACAATCACATTTTGTAAGTACAGATTATTCAGTTTATAAATATATCAACATATAGGAAAACATGGATATTTAAATATATTGATATATTGCTATAGTTATTCCTAATAATTCTCTATACCTCTATGTGAATGTAAAAGAGAACAAGAATGACTTATGCATTCATTTTTTTCAGCAAAATTTTATTGCATATTGGATTATATTCTAATTATGTGGCACCACTCAAAACAAGAGTACATATAAATTTAAAGCACTTAAATTTATATTGTAAATGTTATCATACATTTTGTTATTGTTTGATAGTTGTAACTAAATGTTGTAACTAGAACACTAAAAAATTTAAGCCATAATCATGTTATTGACTTAATATAGTTCTACAGGGTATGAGATGAGGCAGCAAAGTGTGTTATACAACATTATGGAAATGAAATTATGTAATTTATAATAAATATATTTGGAAGACTTAGAACAGAATTGTAAATCATCATAAAAAACAAGTGGAGTATATATGAACCAGAGCAATTTTTCAAGAAAGAATTGAAGAATGAAGCAAATATAATCAAGGGAAAAAATGCTGCAGCAGAAATGGATTTTGAGATTTAATAAATGCATATTTAGACCCTGCTTCCACTTTTGCTAACAGCTAAAGTGCAAGGGGACACTTTCGTACTCCCATTCTCCTATTACTTGTGTTCCACATTGTATTAGTGCATTCTTACACTGCTATAAAGAACTATCAGAGACTGGGTAATTTATAAAGAAAACAGATTCAATTGACTCATAGTTCTTCATGGCTAGGTAGGCTTCAGGAAACTTACAATCATGGCAGAAGGTGAAGAGAAAGCCAGGCATGTCTCACATGATGGCAGGAGAGAGTGAGCGATGGGGAACTGTCCCACACTTTTAAACCATCAGATCTCATGAGAACTTACTCACTATCACGAGAACAGCATGGAAGAAACCAAACCCATGATCCAATCACCTCCCACCAGTTGTTTCCCCAACACATGGGGATTACAATTAGAAATGAGATTTGGGTGGGGACACAGCCTAACCGTATCTCATATATACAGGTACAAACAGTGGGCAGAGCTGCAGGCCTACCTCTTACCTGTGCCTTGGCACTCACGTCACAGCAGCTTGATCATTTATAAACAAAAAGTAAAGTATTATAAATGCTTAACCCTCATGGTGGCATTAAAACAGATCTTTTGGGTTTTGAAGTCAAGTAATATCTTACATATAAAAGTAAGTATTTTGTATAAATATTAAATGAAGAAATTTTTTAAAATTCCATAGAAGGCTCTTTCCTTGGAATATATATAGTTTTATGAAACAGACTGTTGCAAGGACGATCATAATTGAGAGACAGGGTAAAACAAGGTTAAACAATCTTTCTAAAAGCTATCTAATTTTTGGAAACCTTTAATATATCACTTTATATTACAAACTTTTAAGAAGAAGGCATAATTTGCATAGTTTCTCCAACATATTTGAACGCAGTATCTTTTGTTCATGGAATATATCAAAAGACTAATATTGCAAGAACCATTTGGTTTTTTTTAATTGTGTTAGAGAATCCCAAAATAAGAGCACGAATAGATCTCTTTTAATTCTGTAGAAACAGTGTTCTGCATCAAAATGTAATATCGTAACCCTGCTTCCAATTATGACATATTTTGGTAACTGCTGTAGTGTGAACTATTGAACTATTTCTTCTGTGAATATGTGAATCTGGAAGGTCATGCCATAATGTCAGACTTTCTGGATCTTTATTTTTAATTCTTAATGTTGAAGGGTTTGATATCTATATTTATACTCCTATAATTATTATAGTCATATAGACATACTTGTCTCTACTGATCCTTTACACCTTTATGTGATTGTAAAAGAGAACAAGAGTGATTACACATTCATTTATTCAGCAAGATTTTGTTTCACACTTACTAATTTCAAGACCTCGAGCCACAGTCTATGGGGCTCCTACCTTTAAGAAGATTATGAATTTTTGAAAGACATTATATAAGTATGAAAGTAAATAAAAATATAGGAAATTAACTATAGAACTCATGTGAAAAATGATGTATAAAGGTCTTAGAGAAAGAAACGATGGCTTCTGGCTGTGGTTTTATGAAGCTTTTGTCTTGGATTCTATTGGATAAATTTCTAGATGAAATGTGAACACAGAGGTAGGATGGGTGGGTTATAACCCCAACCAAGATAAATGCCTACATGGAAAAGAAAGAAACATGGGAAAGTATGCAGTATAGTTTAGGTTGCTTAGAGTAGGAAGTGAACAGCTAGAACAAAAAGAGGAGGAGTACAGGGAAATTCATAATGGACCTGTTTGGCATGACTTTGAATGCCAGGCACAGAGTTAACAGGCACCCAGATTTTTTATTGCAAGGTGATATGACCTCAGCATGGTTTATAAAGAGGTATAGGTCTCAAAAAGAGGATAGATTACTCTTCGTTCAGAAAGTGGAGATGAATGCAACAATAATTAAAATTTGCCACTGAGCTACAGCTACCATTAGCATGGTTGGGAAAATTCAAAAATGATTTCTAGCTCTCAATTCTTAACACTGAGCAATTCTGCTGGATGCACAGCAA